AATACCATTTCATTAGATAAAAGCAAGTCATTTGTAAAATAATCAAACGGTATGTTTAGTGTACAATACTGGCCATCAAAACGTATTGGAGTCCTATCCCGGCTAACAGTGTCGACCCTATGATCTATACATTGCCGATATTGACCCATAAGCTGATAGTTGCCGCTTATAATACCGGTGCCAAAGCTAGCACTTGAATCTATTACTGTTTGTAAAATATATATAAAAAAATTAATTAATTTCAAAATAAAAAATATTTGTTTAGTTCATTACATTTAATTGTTGTTATATCGTACGGATTGTCCACCAAATAGTCGCCAATTTGTTTGCATTTTGAACTAACATTGCTTTTGTGTATTGAATTCAACAATTGTGTCATTAAATAATTATTTTTGTAAATTAATTCAGAAATTAATTCACCATTTGTTTGATAATCATTAGAAATAATAATTAATAAACTAATTAATATACTTATGTTTAATAATTTTGTTAACATAGTTAATATAAATTAATTGATTTTTATGTAAAAATCTATTTTTAATAAATTTGTTAAATAAAATCCAAATGAAATGTGAATAAATAGAAAAAAAATATTGTAATAACTTTTTTTTTAAAAAAAAGTGTAAAATATTAGTTACTATTATTACAGTGTTTGAAAATATTAGTTTTCAATAGAAACTAAAAAAAACATTTTATGTTTATTTCAAATGAAATAATAAAATCTTGTTTTTTTTGTCTACAATTATTGCTATAATAATAAATCAGTCAATAATTAGATAATCATTATTGAAAATATTTTTACTTTACAAGTTGAAGGTTAAAATATATAATCTATATGTTAATTAGTTTTTATTTAACAAATAAATAACTTAAATAATATATTCAACAACGAAAAAAAAATTAATTTGATAATTTAACTAAATATTATTTAATACATTTATTTTTAAAAAAATATTTATTTATATATTTATATTTAATTTTTTTTAAAAGTTATACTGTAGTGAAATTAAATTAGTAATATTAAGAAATTTTAATACTTTTAGTATCAATTAAAATTAAAATATTTAATATTATGATTATTAAATTTATAAGTTATGAGAGAGAGAGAGAGAGAGAGAGAGAGAGAGAGAGAGAGAGAGAGAGAGAGAGAGAGAGAGAGAGAGAGAGAGAGTTATATTAAATATATAGTATTATATTATTATTGAGATATTATTTTTTTTAATTATAAAACTATTTTGGTTTATTAATTATGAGATTTTTTTTATTACAAATCATATTATTTTCAACATGCATTTAAATTATATAATTGATTTCAACAACAAAAAATTAATTAAAAATTGCATTACATTTATCATTAAAATATTTATAATTTTTTTCTACTTAACTATTTTTTATTAAGTATACAATTTAGTTATTTAGAAATTAATTTCAAATAATTAGTTTAAATCCTAGTTTAAAGTTAAACTTTTTATGAATTTTTTTCACACATAATATTAGATATTTAATTCATTATTGAAAAAAAAATTAAAATTTTTGAATGAATTAACAAACTTTTATTTTTTGAATGTTATTAGCAATTAATGTATAGGTATTAGGAATTTCAGTGTTAATAAAACTATTAAAAAATAATAATAACATATTATTTTAAATGTAAAGTAATAATTAACTTATAAGTAAAAAATATAAATATAACTATTAATTAATTATTTTTGATTTGAAATTTTATTTAAAACTTATTTTTTAAAAACAATTTTTTTTCGTTTAAATCCAATATTAATATAATAATAATGTCGACAATACTATTCATACCGGACAGCGCCTGGGGTCAGATCAACCCGTGCATCGGTATCGGCATTGAACTTGTAGGACGCGGCCATCGGGTAGTGTTTGCCGTAGAGTCGGCGTTTAGCGGACAACTAAAATCATACGGTTTTGATGTCGAGCTGATCACTACTGAGGCCGAAGAAAACAACAACAACAACAACAAGGAGGAGGTGGAGGACAACAACAAAGTGGCCGACAAAGTGGTCACCAAAAATTCAAGAGAATATTGGCCCGATTTTATGGCCAAAAATTCCCGAGTATTTGAATACGAAGACAGTGTCGATGTTTTTTGCAATTTTATTGCCAAAGGTTCCGAAACGGAACATCTGTACAATAAAGTATCGGAACAACAGTTACTGCTGATTATTGACCAGTTAGTACCCGATATTATTTTGGTGGACAGTCTACTGCAATGGAAACTACCCGATATTCAACAGTGGCATCAACAACAACAACAAAGGTGCCAACAATCACCCTGGGTTTTGCTACATTTTCCCGGACCTATCTATTTCTATTCGAGTCCATTGTTACCGCCGGTCGGTTCCGGTTATCCGACAATATCATCGATGACGACAGCAGCGGACAGTACTAATCATCATAGAAAACTGTGGCAACAATTTACCGATAGATTTGCAGCTGCAATGCAACAGACAGCCGATACCGACGGTGACGGCGATAGTGATGGCACCGATAGAGCCGTCCAATTAGCAGAACAGGAACCGCTAGTACCGCCAAAATCGCCATATCTTAACGTCTATATGTGTGTTGAGGAACTAGACTATCCAGAAGTACATCCCTTACCCGATCCGGCAATCTATTTGCGTGTAGAAAATATTATGCGTCCGATGGCTGCCGAAGTTTTGACCGCCGACGCCGCCGCCGATTTCCTACCGAAACAATTGTTGGACAATGGGCTGGCCGGCGATGAAAAACTGGTATTCATAACAATGGGAACCATTGTTTGCCATCATTTGAAACTAATGAATCGGTTGGTCCGAGTATTTAGCCAATCAAGGCATCGGTTTATCATCAAAACCGGTCCATACGATGGACAACTGGCACTCGGTAGCAATATGTGGGGACAGTCGTCAATAGATCCGCGATCGGTACTACCTATAGTCGATTTGGTGGTCACTCACGGCGGCAATAATACGGTTACCGAAACATGTTATTATGGAAAACCAATGCTAGTATTGCCAGTATTTGGCGATCAGTTTGATATCGCACAGAGAGTTCAAGAGTCGGGTCTAGGATTGCGATTGAATGCATTTCATAGCAGCGCTGATGAACTGATCGGTGCCGTCGATAGACTGGTCAATGATGTAGATCTTAGGCAACGTATGCAACAAATCGGTGATAGGATTAGACAAAGAGATGATAAGAAATTGTTGGCCGATTTGATTGAAAAAATTTTAGTCAAATAAAATAACTTAATTTTTTTAGAAAATAAAATTAATTTTAAGTATATGTTTATTGAAATATATATATACTGTATATATATAAATATATAATTATAATTATATAAACTATAATAGTTAACTAATTTATTATTATTATTATTATTATTATTATTATAAATAAATTAGTAAATTACTATATTTTTTAGTTTGAATTAAGTTTGATATTTGATAATTAAATTTAGTATTTTTTTATTTGCTAAATAGTTTATTGATTTTATCTTAATAAAAAATAAAATAAATCAAAAGTTTTTAAAACATTATATTTTTACTATTTTTTTGTATTTTAATAAATATTAATAAATTAGATATAAATTTGTTGTTGCTGTTGTTGTTGTTGTATTGAATTGAAAATAATAACAATTAGTATTAAATTATCTAATAATTTAATTAATTAGCTAAAAAAATTACTTTCAATTGTTGTGGGCGGTTTGGTTTAACCTATGGATCAGTTGTCTAGCGTGGGTCGGTATGAGACCAACAACCGATAGTTTCCCTCAATTCCCACAACGGTATCAATTGATCGGTCAAAGACTAATCAACTGATATTGAGGATCACTTGAGAGGCACTTTATGTGTCAATCAAAGTGATATACAGATCTGCAGAAGTGGTGACCAGAGTGTAGGCCAGGGATCGATCCGTAGTACTATTGATAACGTCTATTACTATTGGAAGGCCAGCGAAATGGTAGACTTGAAGTGTGATCGATCAGCCAATGCTTGCGTTGAAGGAATGGTAGATGTGGTGATCGATCCGGTGATGTGTAGTTAAGACAATAATTAGACACACTTTCAGATATAATACTTTATTATAATAACACAATTCAAATGATAATTAAAACTATGGTTTAAATGTATGGATAGTGGGACTATCAAAGCACATGGATATGTGTAATGGAGTAATGGTATGAATGGCACTGAAGGCCGGTATGTACTGACTGGGCAGTATGGGTAGCAGTGACTGTGACTGAAGTAGAAGTGCAAGAGAGAGAGTATACTATGAATACAGCAGTATTTATACTGTATTTGAGAACAAGTATGTATGTGTAGGAAAAGTGGAGCTATTGGTTGGCTGTATGTATGTGAGGTCAGTGATCGATCAACTGGTGCCATGAAGACGGCCATTGAGCGATCACTTCTAAGAACAGGTAGGCATTGATCGATCAAATCGATCAACAATTCAAGGAAAGGATTAAAAGCATATAAATAAGTTTACAATAAAAATCAAAATAAGTTAAAAACAAAAAGATTAAAATATTATAATTAAATTAAATATAAAATGGATTTCCTCAACACAATATTACAAACATTTCAATCAATTAATTTCAATTATAATTAAATCAATTTAATAAAAAAAACTATACGTTTTTAAAATTATAATTATATAGGAATTGTTTTTAAAACTATAATTATATTTTTTTAAATCTACATTTCATACACCATGAAAAACAAACCAAAAATAAAAATCATTATTTTTAAATTAAATATTTTCTTATTCACAACAAAAAAAACCGACAAAAAAAATATAATTATAAATATGTTTTTTGTGTAGATTTAAAAAATAAAAAATTTTTTTTCACTATTATTACATTACAAATAATTCATTAATTGATTTATTAGAAAATAAACTAAAAAAAAAATAATATTATTATTATAATAAAATAAATTACAATCATTATTGTTATTATTATTATTATTCAAAAAAACAATATCTATTTATCAGATTTTTTTGGCCACAAATTGGTGAACATTTTTCTGATGTGTTTGGAAATTATTTTTCGAAAAAAATTCTTTACCACAAAAGTGACACTTATGTGACTTAACATTCAGATGTCGGTCCATATGTTCTTTGAGTGCAATCTTTGCCGGATACGATTGGTCACATTCGGGCCACGAACACCTATAGATCCGATCGTGTCGATGCCGATGTCGTTTCAGGTCACGTTGGGTAGCGTACGCAAGACAGCAACCGTCGTAGTCGCACCTGTAGGGCCGGTCGGCCGGATTAGTTAGTTCGTGTGCTTTGATTCGGTGTTGTTTGAGTTCCCAATCGGTATAGTAGCGCATCTGACAGCCGCCAGTAGGATCCGCTGAACAAACAAACGGTTTGATACCCTGATGACGATTCAAGTGTATGATCATCTCCTGTTTGGTTCCATGGGCCGAACATCCTGGCCATACACACTGGACCCGTCGGTAGCGTATCTTTTTGTGTGCATCACCGCTGACGCCGGTAGCCTCCCGTTTGGCCCGTACTCTGGCAACTGTACGATCGTGTCGGCGCCGGTGTTGTTCCAGACGCGACGGATCCTTAAACGACTTGTCGCAGCCGTCGTAATCGCATCGATGTTTGCCGTCGTTTGTATGCAATACCCTATGTCTCAGCATTGCATCCTTGGTTTTGTAGGCCCGACTACAGCCTTCCCATTGACAACGAAACGGTCGTTCATCCGAATGAGTTACCCGACGATGTTTGTACAGTGATCCGGCATTTTTGAATCGTTTACCGCAACCATCCACTGGACAATCGTAGTCTCGCTGATCGCTATGCGATTGTTGATGTATTTTCAATAGTTTTTTATTGCCAAATGTTTTATCACACGTCGGACACGAAGTCCTTATTGTTGTCGTTGTTGTTGTCGAAGAACTCTTCCAATTCTTTGTCTTTATTGTCGTCGATAATCGTCGTCTAATTTTACCGATATTTGGCTTGAAATCTGTATCTTCATTACCGCCACCGCCATCGGGGGTAAACTGTTCGTCCATTGGCTGCCAATCATTGCTATCGTCGGCGGCGGCGGCCATTGATTTGTCTTCGTGTTTGACCACAACATCCTCTTCTTCTTCATTATCATCGGTGGCGGCAATCAATCGATCGGTAAACAGCCGTAAACTTTGGTCACTTGTTGTTGTTGTCGATGTTGTCATCTTTGTCCGCCACTCGCGACTGTCCACCTCTAGTGACTCGTAGATGGAGTTCAGGTCATTAAGTTTGGCTTCGTTGCCGACATTCTGGTCGCAAATACATCGATCGCGGAAATCGGTAGCCAACTGTCTAAATTGGTCGCACAGTCGGACAAATCGATGGCATAGCCGTAGTTCGCCGACCAGTCGCTGATTTTCGCGGGACAACTCATCGAATACATCTTTTACCGATAATCTGCTGGCCATCGATGTTGACCACCGATAATGTCTTAAATTAATTAATTGATTGATTGATTGATTGATTGAAATTAACAAAAAAAAATTAAATATTAAAAAACATAAAAAAAACTTTTTATTATTATTTTTCAATACAAATATTGTTTGTCAATATTGTGTTGTCATTGGAAACCGTAAACAATGATTGTGTAGTACATGTTGTATAGGGATGTTATCATTGAACTGATAGAGGTGTGTGTGTGTGTGTATGTGTTGTGTATTTTAAATTTTTTTTTTAATTTTAAATTTAAATTTACACTAAAATTACCCAGATAATTATCTGTTTAAAATCAAATATATTAATGTAACATGGGTTAATTTATATATAAGTTTTTATTTAATTTATTTTTTTTAAATAATTTATTCAAGATAATTAAGTTATTTTTTATTAAAAAAATTTACAATCAATAAAATTATATATATATAATTTTTTAAAGTTATATTACTGGTAGACAATTACAAAAATAAAATAAAATTTTTAATTTTAGTTTTTTAAAACAAAATAATTGAATGAATACCTAAACAACACATAAAAAATATATAAATATATATAAATACTGTATATATTAGATAATAGTTTCCATTTAAATTATAATAAAATAAATTAAATATTTAAATTAAATATACCGTAAGTTTAAGATTTTAATAGTAGACTTAAATTATATTGTAATGTAATATAATAATAATAATAAATCAGTTAATATTAATTAAAAAAAACAATTCACAAAAAAAAATAAATAAAAATAAAATAATTAACAAAATTATTAATAATTCCACGATTGTGTTGTCATTATTTAGTGATTACCGGTAAAACATTATCATCGTTAGTGATGTTATTGTTATTATCATCATTGTTAGTGATGTTATCAACATTAGTAATGTTATCAACATTAGTGATGTTATCAACATTAGTGATGTTGTTATTATCTATATTAGTAATATTATTGGCATTTTTATTGTGCTGTTGTTGTTGTTGCCTAACATGATTGGCGTACGGTTCCCGAACTTTCGGCGGTACAAACTTGTGAATTCGGCGCATATGTGCCAAACAATTATTGCGGGTAAAAAAGCCGCGCTGACAAAACTGGCACTTATGTCGCTGGACATTCAAATGCCTGTCCATATGATCCCGCATCGTAACACTATTGTAATAGGTTTGGTCGCATTCGGGCCACGAACATTTATAGATGCGGTCGTGTTGGCGCTTATGGAGTTTCAGTTGCCTGGGTGTAGCGTAACTACGATCGCAGCCATCTGTATCGCACCGATAGGCCAACTGGTCAGCTGCTGCTGCTTCGGTGGTGTCGCCATTGCCATCAGTGGTCGGCAGCAATTTCGGGCCGTGTTCTTGTTTCTTATGTTGTCTCAGTTCATGTTCGGCATAGTATCTCTGTTGACAACCGCCCGGATCGTCGCATACATACGGTTTGATACCCTGATGACGATTCAGATGTATTTCCAATATCTTTCGATGAGCGCTGAACGAACAGCCCGGCCACAGACATTGGTGTTTGCCGTAAGTTTTTTTCGTTTCGTCGTGCAGTTCCAGGTGGCGGTCGAAACCCATTTGTGTTTTGAATGCTATACCGCATCCCTGGCGCGGACACCTAAACTGAAACTCTGTATAGTTATCGGCAGAGTGTTCCTCCCGACAGTGTTTGTACAGCGATCTGTGAACCCGAAATCGTCGACCACAGCCGTTAACTGAACAGACAAACTGTCGACTAAAGTAGTCATCGCCGTGTTGTTTCTCTTCGTGTCGTTGCAGACGATATTTATGGGCAAATGTTTTGCCGCACGTCTGGCACGTATAGCATAGCGACACACGTTTCTTCTTCTTCTTCATAATCATCGATGTCTTTTGCGATGTCGCCAATCGATTTGATTTCCATTTTTGAATCGTATTTATCTTCTTAAACAACTCACTGCTATTCTTCCTATTCTTGTTCTTGTTCTCCACTATTGTATTATTGCTGTCGTCGTCGTCGTCGTTATCTCCGCTCATGAGGTCGTCGTCATTATCTCTGCTCATAAAGTCGTCGTCGTTGTTACTATCGTTGCCGTCATTGTCATCATCGCCACCACCGCTGTGCAGCTTCTCTACGTGATCTCTATGTCTATATTTATGTTGAAAAGTTTTGCCGCACGTCTCGCACGTGTAAATCTTTGGCGGCCCTCTCTTCTTCTTCTTCTTCGTCGACAACGTAGTCGTCGTTGGCTTAGTAGTAGTCGTCGGCATCGGCTTGTCCTTCACTTCCGACGATAATATTGTTGACATTATTGACTTAATTAGACTCCTATTGGGCTTAAACTCTCGATCGTAACAGTCTTCTTCACCACCACTGGTGTCCCAATTGTCCACAAAATTGTCTTCAACGTCCATTTGTTGCCAATTGTCATCGCTTTCGTCGTCGGCGTTGTCAACCATCTCTTCTTTATGTTTAACCGGTAGTTCTTCTCCATCATCACCAACACCATCGGTGACACCAATCAACTGATTAGTTGTTTGTCTAACTTTTTCCTTACTCTTCCGTCGTCTTATTGTCAGCCATTTGCGACTGTCCTCAAGTAGTCTATCGTAGACCAGATCCAAGTTATTGAGTTTGGCTTCGTTGGCGACATTCTGGTCGCAAATACATCGATCTCGGAAATTGATGGCCAACTGTCTGTATCGGTCGCACAGTTGGACATATCGGTGACAAAACCTTAGTTCGCCAATTAGTCGGCGATTTTCTTTGGACAGCTCGTCAAACAAGTCTTCGACTGTTATTGTTGTGGCCATCATCTGTCTATCGGGTTTAGCGGTATACAACGGCAGCAGCGGTAATGTTATTGATGGTCAAAACGGCCCGAAAAAACAGCTGATCCAATGTCTATGTAATGACAACTACAGTACACTATTGAGAGTCCAATAGAAAAACCAAAACAAAACCAAAACATTCAACAAAATGATTGTTTGTTTGTCAACAATAACAGTCTATGTGTGTGTGTGTGTTGTCATAGAAACGTCGTAAACATTCATTCAATTATTATCATTAAATACTAGTTTTATAAAAACTATAATAATTTTTAAATTTATAAATTTAATTAATTAATAATAAAAAAATTTTTTTTTAAACATTTAACAAAAAAGTATTTACAAATTTTTATTTTAAATAAGTTTAAATAAAGTTTTAGCCGAAAAAAAAACAAATAAATTATATATTTTTTTTAAAAATATTACAATTATATTATGTCAATCACTATCATAAAAATCAATGTAAATTTATATTCCGGTATATTATTTTAATTAATTTTTAATTTTATTTGTTAAGGACAGGTATGCACACCAATTGGTTCGGGATTTATATTTGTTTTTTTTTAAATTTTTTTTAATTGTGTTTTACAATTAATCAGATTTTGTTTCAGATTCAGATTTCATCGGAATAGTTAATGGGATATCGATATTATGATTATCTTATAGACTAATAAATTACTTATTTTTAAGTTTATTTTTAAGTTTTTTTTTAAAAATTACGGTATGGGGTTATCATCACATACGGGATAATAGTTATGATCGATGGATAGGGATGTCTATATATATATATATATTAGCTATTAATTCATAAAAAAATAATAAATTCATTGATTGTTGTTATCATTATTAGTGATGTTATCGTTATTATTATTTTCATTAGTGATGTTATCGTTATTATTATTATTATCATTAGTGATGTTATCGACATTATTGTCATTTTGTTGCTGTTGTTGTCTAAGACGCTTAAGATTATACGGCCGACGAATTTTCGGCGGTATAAACTGATGAATACGGTTCATATGTGCCAAACAATTATTGCGGGTAAAGAACCCGCGCTGACAAAACTGGCACTTATGTCGCTGAACATTCAGGTGTCTGTCCATATGATCCCGCATCGTAACACTATTGTAATAGGTTTGGTCGCATTCGGGCCACGAACACTTATAGATACGGTCGTGTTGGCGCTTATGTAGTTTCAGTTGCCTGGGTGTGTCATAACTACGATCGCAACCCTCGATATCGCACCGGTAACTATTCGCTGCCGCCTCCGCAGCAGCCGCTACTTCCGGTGGTTTCGGTTCGTGTTCTTGTTTTCGATGTTGTTTCAGATCGTACGCACTATAGAAACTCATTTGACAACCACTCGAGTCGTCGCACGCATACGGTTTGATACCCTGATGTCGATTCAGATGTATTTCCAATGTTTTGGGAAACCCGACAAACGAACAGCCCGGCCACAGGCACTGGGTTCTGCCGTACGTTTTTTTCGCCGAGTCGTGCAGTTCCATATGCCTATTGAATCCCGATTTCGTTTTGAACACTACAGTACATCCATCGCGCGGACATCGATACTGAAATTCTGTACTATCGCCACCAGAATGGTCCTCCCGGTGATGATTGTACAGTGATTTCTTAACCCTAAATCGTCGCTTACAGCCGGGAACCGAACAGACAAACGGTCGACTAAAGTATTCATCGCCGTGTAGTTTCTCTTCGTGTTTACGCAAACGATATTTATGGGCAAATGTTTTGCCGCACGTCTGGCACGTATAGCTCAACGAAACCCGTTTCTTCTTCTTCATAATCATCGACGTCTTCTTCTTCGATGTCGGCGAACGATTTGATTTCCATTTGTGAATCGTATTCATCTTCTTAAACAACTCGCTTGTATCCACTTTTTTCTTGTTATCCATTAGACTGTCGCTGTCGTTGTCATCGAAGTCATCTCTGCCCCCCATAAAGTCGTCGTCGTTATTGTTACTATAGTTGTCATCACTGCTACCGCCGCCGACACCGCTGTGTTGCTTCAGTACGTGATTTTCATGTCTGTATTTATGTTGAAATGTTTTGCCGCACGTCTCGCACGTATAAATCTTTGGCGGCGGTCTCTTCATCGATGTCTTCCGCGACATCGTATTTATCTTCTTAAAGAACTCGTCGTCATTGTGATTATCGTTGCCCTCATTGTCATCACCGCCACCGCCGCCGCTGTGTTGCTTCAGTACGTGATTATTATGTCTATATCTATGTTGAAAAGTCTTGCCGCACGTCTCGCACGTGTAAATCTTTGGCGGCGGTCTCTTCTTCGTCGTCGAAGTCGTCCTTAACGGCTTGACTTTTACTTCCGTCGGTAATATCGTTGACTTTATTGACCTAATCTGACTCCTATTGGGCTTAAACTCTGGATCATAACAGTCTTCTTCTTCTTCTTCTTCTTCACCACTAGTGTCCGAATTGTCCACAAAATTGTCTTCATCTCCAGTTTGTTGCCAATTGTCTTCGCTATCGTAGGCGTTGTCAACCACCTCTTCCTTATGTTTAACCGGTAGTTCTTCTCCATCATAATCATCATCACCACCGGTAGCGCCAATCAGTTGACCTGAAATTGTTTGCCTATCATTTGCCGTCCTTTTTCGTCTAATTGTCAGCCATTTGCGACTGTCCTCAAGTAGTCTACCGTAGACCAGATCCAAGTTGTTGAGTTTGGATTCGTTGCCGACATTCTGATCGCAAATACATCGATCGCGAAAATTGATGGCCAACAGCCGATATCGGTCGCACAGTTGGACATATCGGTGACAAAAGCCTAGTTCGCCAATTAGTCGGCGATTTTCTTTGGATAACTCGTCAAACAAGTCTTTGACTGTTATTGTTGTGGCCATATCTGTCTCTCGGGTCACAGCGGCGGCTGCGGTAATGTTAGTACTGATGGTTAAAACGACCCGAAAAACAGCTGATCCAATGTCTATGCAATTGACAACAATATGAATGATAACTACAGTATACTATTGAGAGTCCAATAAATAAATTAAAAAAAAAAAAACAATATTTTTTGTCAACAATAACATTGTGTAAGTGTGTGTGTTGTCATAGAAACGTTGTAAACATTTATTCAATTATGTTTATGATTTAAATTACAGTAAAGCAAAACACGTGATTAAAATAAATTGTTTACAAAATTTTTTTAATTTTTTTCTGGCCATCAAATAGTTGTAATCTAATGGATCTAATGATGAATAAGTAGTTGTTTTTTTTGTGTGCCAACCATTGATGCGCGCAATGATCTACCGTTTATGCTGTCAATGTTATCGCCGATTGCTGGCCGCCGCCAATACCGTTACAACCAATGATGCCGTTATCGGCGGCGGCGTCGGCGGTAAAAGTCTACTACTTGTTGAACATGGCCTCCGACATCATCATCACCACCAGCGCAGTAGTAGTAGTAGTAGTAGTAATCAACTGTCGGTCCTATTCTACGGTTCGGATGACTTTAGTTTGCCAACACTGCGACTATTGGCCGATAACTATCAATTGGCAGCCGCCGTCGATGATGATGATGGCGGCGACGGTGGTAGTGGTCAACAACAACAACAGCGACAAGTGATCCGCCAATTGGATGTTGTGTTGAGTTCGCCGAAGAACATTATCGCCCGCTATGCACACGACCGTCAACTCACTTGCCATGAGTTTCCGTACGATTTACCGCCGACTGATGGTGTCTACGATATCGGTGTTGTCGCCTCGTTTGGTCATCTGATACCCGGACGGGCTATCAGATCCTGTCGATTAGGTATTTACCCCCACCCACCCCCGCTAAACATTTTAATTGACACTTTTATTACAACTATTATCATCACATTTTTGTTGTTGTTGTTGAGGACAACAGGTATGCTTAACATTCACGGTTCACTATTGCCCCGATGGCGCGGTGCGGCACCAGTCAACTATGCCGTACTTAATGGCGACCAGCGAACCGGTGTTACCATTATGAGGATAGCGCCCAAACGGTTTGACATCGGCGACATAGTAGCCCAGGCCGGCTATCCGGTGCCGCCGAGGATTACGGCCCGCCAGCTCAAGGCTGAGTTGGCACCGATTGGCGCCCAATTGGTTAGTGTTTTGGGTTTTTTTTGGTGTTGTCTTATTTTGCAATTACCGATAATTAAATTATTTTTCTGTTTTGTTTAATAGTTATGGGAATGTCTGTTAGATATTGACAATAAATTACTGAATAGTAGACCGCAATCAAGTTCTGGCATTACATACGGTATGTAAATGATTAAGTTTTATCAAATAGAAAGGTATGTCTATATTATAATATATTAGCTCTAATTCTATATTATTTCATCCCTTTCCTCGTCCACACGTAACTTCAAAGCACCCAAATTTGATGACTCGTACGGTCTGATCGATTGGTCAACAATGACGGCTACCGAAGTTGACCGTAGATTTCGGGCATTCATCGATTTCATTGACATATACAGTCACTGGACAGACGGTTCGCGACTTCGGCTCTACGATTTGGTCGATCCGGAACTGGTGGCCACATTTGATCTGAAGAGGTTGTCCGGGTATGACGACACTGGTCGTCCCGGACCGGGTTGTATTTATTATCATAAAAAACGTCGACTATTATGTGTGTCCAGTGCCCAGAATACGTGGTCGGCATTCGGTTCGGTAGCTGTCAAAGGCCACAAACGTATGTCTGCTCATCAGTTTAACAATGGTTTTATTAAACGACTAGAAACTAGTGTACCCATAATGTTGAGGTCGGATATGTCTAGTAGTAGTAGTAGTTTATAGTAGTAGTTATTGTATTGTTTTATTATATTTATTGATTTTTATATATATATAATTTATATATATATATAATTTTTATTATATTAATCTATGATAATAAATGTTTTAATTTTCAATAAAATTAGTATTATTATTGTTTTGTTGTTTGTAATAATCTATTTATTATAATTATTGTAATATATAAATTTTAGACAAAAAAATATTAAAAAGTAATAAATAAAATTAATAGCTAATAGTTTTTTATGTAAAATTATAATTACCGATAAATTTAATTACTGGTAATAATTTTTTTTAATTGACTATGATAATTTTTAAAAATATATATATATATATTGAATACTTAATATATTTTTTAAAAATACATATACAATTTAAAAATTTTATTTATATTATTTAATTAATATGACTATTCATAAATAAAATTAATAAAGTAAAATTAATGTTATTAAAATAATAATAGAAAAAAATGTACAAAAACATTACTAAATAGTTAAATGATATTACAAAATGTATTAATACTACTGTACTGTACATTACATTTAAATTTAAAACTAGAAATTTTTTAATTATCTAAAAAATATATTAAATATATAAAGTTGATTAATTTATATACAGTAATTTTTTAAATATATATATATAGTAATAGTTTTTTTTATAAATCTAGTTTTATAATTATTGTTTTTTTTAATTTGTTAAATAAAAATAATATAAAATAATTTTTTTTTTCAAACTAGAATTTGCCAGTTAGTATGCTAGGTGTGGCTATAAATGATCTGGCAACAATCTACAAAACTGATCTAGCTGGTATATCACTAATGTTACAAATAGCATCCATAACAACATTTGCAGCATCATTAAGTATTAATTAAATTATTAAAAATAAAAAAAATATACAATTAATTATAATAAAATACAATTAATTATAATAATTACAATTAATTATTTATTTTACATACAGGTAATTTTTTTAAATAAACATTGTTTTATAGTTTTATTAAGTTAAGTTTAAGACATCAACTATTTATATTTGTTTAAAATTATTATTTTGTAAATTATAGAGTAATTATAATTTTTATTAAAAATTGATTACCGGCAGTTAATTTTTTAATTTTAAAATTATCAATACTAACTTTTAATAATAATTATATTATATATAATAGTAAATATTGTGGCCAAATATGTTAACAAACAATTACTGAACGGTCTAATTGTTATAATATTGGGTATACTATATGCACTGACACCCAATTTATCTACTATTACCCAATTGACAATTGTCTACGTACTGAGCGTATTGTTGGGTACCGGCACCTATACATTGGTCAAAGTATGGATAGTAGAAATGTGGGACCGCCGGTGCGGGCCATACATACAGGCTATGGCTATGATAAACAGTTTGCCCGGTATATTTGCACCGCTAATTATTAAGCCATTTCTATCATCATCATCGGAAATAATTGTACTAGATAATAATAATTGTACCAGTAGTGTCAATAATGATGATGATAATAATATGACCATGTTGCTAAATAATGGTACTATTGAATGTGAGATAACCCAGATCATTATAACCGATACTACTATACAAACTCCTTATATTATTGTCGGATCCCTAATCTCATTGAGCGGTATATTAATGCTAATTGTTTTCATGTTTAGACGTTATATACCCCGACAAACAAACTATACTAATAATACTAATAATAATCAAAATGATTTAAAACAATTAAGACATACAAATATATTTAAACGATTGAGTAAACAATTAAAACGTGATTTATTTCCATCCAAATGGATATTCATACAATTGTTACTTATATTTTTGATATATTTCTTAATCAATGCAATTTTTTTCAGTGCTATCGTCTATTTCCCGACATTTTTACACTTGTATGGCATAAATACTACCCAACAAACGGCTGCAATTATGTTGACTGGTATGGGTATAGCCCTAGTAGTCAGTCAATTGACTTGTATAGGGATAACCAAACTAGTTAGGCCTCAACTATTGCTACTACTATCACTGACTACACTATTGGTTTCATCTATAATCTACCTGTTCAACAATAGGCTTACCATAATATGGTTGGCCACTATTGTAAATGGTATAGGTTTGGCACCACTGGAAGGCTGTTTGTATAGTTTAGTCGAAATGATTACACCGATTAACGATTCAATTGGTACTATATTTACATTGTTGATCTGTTTGTCCAATCTAATGGTACCCAGTTTATTGGGCACCCGTATAGAACAATCACCTGGTGTATTTATCTATTTTAATATGTCAATGACTATAGGGTCTATAGTTTTGATATTGATACTAATTTATCTAGCAACAAATTTTAATAACAATGTACATAATAATAATAATAATGAAACAACAATTGATATAGATGATGATGATACTAATAATAATGATAAAAATGATTATTATGTTTGTGATAACCAATTATAGATTACTAAATCAAATATAATAAATATTTTTTACATAATAAATAAAATAGTCTATATAAAAGTTTTTTTATTTATTTATTTATATATAATTTTTTATTTATTTTTTTGTCTATTTGTTAAAATTGTCAATAATTTTGATTTTGCTCCTAATTTATCTAGCTACATATTATACATAGCAGTGTACATAATACTGTAACATCAATTGACATTGATGATGATGATAATAAATTAATTTAATAATAATAATTATGTTAGTGATAACTAATTAAAAATATATAAAATAATGTATAATAATAATATGCTGAACTTTTTATTAAAATAATATATATATATATATATATAAAATATCTATATTTAAGTAATTGTTTTGTCATTATTATACTCTTACATAAATAATTTTAATTAATAAATGATTAATTATTATTATTTCCTTAAATTTAATTATCGGTAATGATATTTATTTATTTATTGGTACTTTACTATGATAATATATATATATATATATAATAATTGTAATCATAATATTTGTAATAAATAAATTTTTAAAACTATTTTTCTAAATTTTATCATTATTACAAAATTGGCTAGACACATTTTTTTTATATATATTATATAAATTGTTATTTATATTATTTATTATTTTAAATATTACTAGATTGTCCCGCGCAACATGTATAACTGTCCAATTCTTTTACTAATTTTAAAATATTCATCATAAGTAGTTTAAATGAGACTTAATTTGTCTATACAACTATTACATAACATAATGTAACAAAACTACTAAACCAATACACATTATTTAGTCTAAACTCTTGAAAAATTTTAGATTTTTATCTATATTTAAATTATTTTAACACAAATTGAAAATTTAATTATTTTTGCAAAAAAAATTTGCATTTGAAAAAAATTTACAAAAATTTAGCATATATATCTAACTTCCCGGTGCTCTTTGACTCACACAATGTAGCAAAATGTAAGTACACAACATCTGTCTACCTGTCCTCAAAACCTACCTGAGCTCAATATACATTTAAAATTTCTCATAGAAATAGCATTGCTTTAAATAAAAGTTTCAATTTTAATACAAATTGAAAATTTTTGCATTTGAAAAAATTTTTCAAAAATTTAGCTCAGGTAGCTAACCTCCCGGTGCCCTAAGACTCATATAATATAGTAAAATGTAATTCCACAATACCTGCCTACCTGTCCTCAAAATCTACCTGACCTCAATAATCATTTAAAATTTCCCATAGAAATAACATTGCTTTAAATAAAAATTGAAAATTTTAATACAAATTAAAAATTTTTGCATTTGAGAAAATTTTACAAAAATTTAGCACAGGTAGCTAACCTCCCGGTGCCCTATGACTCATATAATATAGTAAAATGTAATTCCACAATACCTGCCTACCTGTCCTCAAAATCTACCTGACCTCAATAATCATTTAAAATTTCCCATAGAAATAACATTGCTTTCAATAAAAAATGAAAATATAACAATACATTTTTACATTTGAATTAAAATACGGTTGTTGATGAAATGTGCACATACAGACAGACAGACAGAGACTATTATCTTAAAGTGTTATCTTGATTATTATACATAAACAATGCGTTAAATAAAATTAATTATTAGAAAGCAAATTATTTTAGTAAATTAGTATTTAAGTAATTAATTAAATGAAAAATATAATTATAACAACAATTATTTGATAACTAATACATTCAATACACATTAAGTTAAACTATAATAATAAGTTAATTGTATTAAATTGAGTAATTATATATATATATATTAATTTATTTATTTATTTTACAGTAATTATATAATATATATATTTTTAAAAATATAGTTATATCACAACCATCATAATCATAATGTCTATTACAACTACTATTAGTAAAACTAATACAAAAAGTGCCAAAATTTTGATAACATTTACTATTTTTTGTGCAGTTTTTTACAGGTTTATTATTACTATTACTATTATTATTAATCTAATTGATATAAATATTGTTTATTTTAATTTAATATATTTAAAAAAAAAATTAAATAAATTTTTCCAAACTAGAATTTGCCAGTTAGTATGCTAGGTGTGGCCATAAATGATCTGGCAACAATCTACAAAACTGATCTAGCTGGTATATCACTAATGTTACAAATAGCATCATTAGCAACATTAGCAGCATCATTAAGTATTAATTAATTATTTTTACATTAAGTTATAGTTTTATTGAGTATTAATTATAAAACATTTTTATTAATGTTATTTTCTAAAATATTGAATAATTTACAAACAATTTTTTTATAATACAAGTTTTTATAATAATAATTTTATTAAAAACTAATTACCTGTACTTGATATACTGATATTTTAATATTTTAAAATTATCAATACTAACTTTTAATAATAATTTTTATTTATTTATATAAAATAGTAAATATTGTGGCCAAATATGTTAACAAACAATTACTGAACGGTCTAATTGTTATAATATTGGGTATACTATATGCACTGACACCCAATTTATCTACTATTAACCAATTG